AAGTGTGATTGGACACACAAGGAATTTGTCTTTGGTGCATAGGCTCTCAGTGTACATAAAGAAAAAATAAAATAGAATACATTTGTCAAGAATCATAAGATTCAACACTTAGTGATAGTCATAGGTTACTAATAAACAATCAAATCATACTAGGAAACTAAATAAAACTATATAAATTGAAAGATAACAAGCAACATGGATATAATAAGTGGGGAGAGATAGATACTAGGAAGGAAGAGAATAATAATAATAGTAATACACCTAGTAGATAATTTGACAGTGTTGTAGGGATTAGTTGTTTAGAAGAGTGATGGCATTCAGAGGAAAACTGTCCTTGTGTCTAGTTGTTTTGGTGTGCAGTTCTCTATAGTGTCGTTTTGAGGATAGGAGTTGAAACAATTTATGTACAGGATGTGAGGGGTCTGTAGATATTCTCACAGCCCTCTTTTTGACTCGTGCAGTGCACAGGTCCTCAATGGAAGGCAGGTTGGTAGTGTGAAAAAGTTTGAAAATGTGGAAAAGTTTGAATGTATATGCAAGATCTCCTCTGCACAGCGAACCTTTAATGCTAAACCCCTTCAGAATCATCATGCATGCATGTTTTCTGTTGTAGTCGGCTCAGAATCCCCTTTGGGCCTTTCTAAGGATACCCACCCAACTTTCACACCTTGTTGCAGGCCGATCGGCAGTATGAAATCCCTCAGCCATTTCGCCATTCCAAACCACCCAAAGACGGTTTCCTGATAGAGCAAGTCTTTAGCCCTCACCCTTATCCGGCATCACTCAAATCCCATATGAAGACCAACCCTCTTTACACAGACATGCGCTTGACAGAGCTGGCTGAAGTGAAACGAGTCCAGCCTTCGTGGACCGTTGAGGAGTACACCAGGAATTCGGGAGAGAAAGGGAAGTTGGCATCTTTGGACCTACAGGTGAGTCATTTCTTCCCTCTTCTTGGGGATCCGCTTCTGCCTACAGGCCAGCGGTCCCCAACCTTTTGGGCACCAGGGACCGATTCAGTGGTGGGATTCCATTCTTTTTGCTACCGGTTCTGTGGGCATGGCTTGGTGAGCGTGGCATGGTGGACGTGGCAGGGGAAAGATACATGCAAAATCCCCATTCCCTCCCCACACCATTACCTGTTTCCCAGCTCTGTTCTCCTGTTCAGGGCAACAAAAGAAGATCGGCTGGGAGGCAGTGGGGGCATGGCCAGCCTATTTGCCGGTTCTCCGAACTACTCAAAATTTCCGCTACAGGTTCTCCGGAACCCTGTCAGAACTGGTTGAATACCATCTCTGATTTGGTAGCTTGCCAGTTGTACCCGTTTGCCGTCATCCCAAATTCCAGAAGGGATTATTATTATTATTATTTTTGGAAACCGCAGTTATCTTCCTTCTGATCTCCCTACAGACAAGATACTTCTCGCAGCTTTCTGTTGCTCAGGTGTCAAGATTCGGAATTAATCAGCCACTTGGAGCCCCAACAGACTCAGGTGGTGGAAAGGTTCAGTCACAAGGTGTTGCTCTGATTTGACTCGAGGGCATCTTGTCAGCCGTTGTTGTTTTTTTTAGCAAGGCTGCCAAGTGAAAAGCAGAGAAGCACTGCAACAAGGGAGTGAGAGAGTTCCGCTTCAGAAGGAGCCTATCTGTCCCACCTTGGTAAATTTGGGGGCAGGAGAGTCGAGGGAACCGTCATGCCTACCTTTGTGCTGCCAGATCTAGCACAGTTTTTCTGTTTCTTTCGAATAAATCAGAAAGCTTTCAAATATAACCATTCTCCTTCCCATCCTGTTAACTGTCATCCTTCCCTCGGGACTGACCCAAGAGGCTGCTATCAATATCACAATAGTGTAACAGCATTCAGATCCATGGTGACCCATCTGCTCCTTTAGATCGTCCCAGAGTTTTGTCCATTTGGGGCTGAAAATTAAATAATACAGGCACGGTGTGCCTCTTATAGATGCAATAGCAATAGCAATAGCAGTTAGACTTATATACCGCTTCATAGGGCTTTCAGCCCTCTCTAAGCGGTTTACAGAGTCCGCATATTGCCCCCAACAACAATCCGGGTCCTCATTTTACCCACCTCGGAAGGATGGAAGGCTGAGTCAACCCTGAGCCGGTGAGATTTGAACAGCCGAACTGCAGAACTGCAGTCAGCTGAAGTAGCCTGCAGTGCTGCATTTAACCACTGCGCCACCTCAGCTCTTTTAAGATGCATCTTAAAAGAAAAAGAAAACCCAATCTTTAACATTTAAATAGAATAGAATAGAGTAGAATAGAATAGAATCAGAAACAGAAACAGAATTCTTTATTGGCCGAGTGTGATTGGACACACAAGTAATTTGTCTTCGTTGCATATGCTCTCAGTGTACATAAAGAAAAATAAAATAAAAAATATTCACCAAGAATCATAAGATACAACACTTAATGATAGTCATAGGTTACTAATAAGCAATCAAATCATACTAGGAAACAAATAAAACCATATAGCAATAGCAATAGCAGTAGACTTATATACCGCTTCATAGGCCTTTCAGGCCTCTCTAAGCGGTTTACAGAGAGTCAGCATATCGCCCCCACAATCTGGGTCCTCATTTTACCCACCTCGGAAGGATGGAAGGCTGAGTCAACCCTGAGCCGGTGAGATTTGAACCGCTGACCTGCTGATCTAGCAGTAGCCTGCAGTGCTGCATTTAACCACTGCGCCACCTTGGCTCTTAATTGTAAAGATACAATTTATATTGTTATACTAAAGTTAAAATTGCACCAAAGGTTTAAAATTGGGGACAAATGCAAGAAGTTCATGCTGCCTATGAAATGTAAATCAGATAAATTAGAACTGAATTTTATTTTATTGGAATGATATGCTGGGAATCTCTGGGAATAGAGGGCAATAAGATAGACAGATCTTCATTCCCTCTGATGTTTTGGTTTTTTTTAAAAAAAATCACAGTCCTTTGATTACCAAAACACAACAACATCATGCAGAATAAATTATTTTCACTTTTATAGGGGGGATTTGAAGTCCTATTTTCTCCCTGGCCCTGAGCCAAGATGCAACCTAAACTACATCTGCACTTTTGGAGTTAACTGGTGTTTTTATTGATAATTTATTTTGCAATGTGATACTTTTAACCCTAGTTGGCTAGAATTGCTTGGAAAATGGGTGGCTTTTAAAACTGAATAAATAAATAAATAATCCCCCCCCCTCTCTCTCTCACACACACACACCCCTCATCGCATTGGGTTAAAAAATTATGTTTTTATACTTTCTTTCAGTAAAGAGGAATTTGGGAGACTGTGATATTTTTCCACATTTAGTGGCAAGGAGACGAAAGAGAAATGGGAAAATCTGGTCTCTTACCAATGTTGTTGATTTAATTCATGTATGAGCCACCTCAACTGCCAAACGATTCTCGATGGCAAGCAATCAATTAATACCCAAAGTAAAGAAACAATAGCATTTTAATAACAAAAGAAAAGAAACAATAGCATTTTAATAACAAAAGAATAGAAAAAAAACCAGTAAAAAACCACAAGAGAATATTCATAGCTAAGGGTTGAACTACGGTGTCCTTGGTGCTCTCTGAGTGTGGTTGCTTTTGTGCAGATGTTTCATTACCCAACTAGGTAACATCATCAGCAAACATCCCTCTCAACTGCCACCTTGTGTGCTTGTGTGCTTCACTACCATGAGGTAGTGAACTCTGGGGAGAGGGACGGGAGAATGCTTGTGGGAAAGCGAAAGTAGTAACTGCTGTAACTCCCTGAGGTGCTGCTTCAAGGTCATCCAACTCAGAGAAGAATGCAGCTGGACACATACTACATTTGAAATGTCCATTCCAGTGGTGGGTTTCAAAAATTGTTCGAACCTACTCTGTGGGTGTGGCCTCCTTTGTGGGAGTGGCTTGCCACCCATGTGACCGGATGGGAGTGGCTTGCCGCCCATGTGACCGGATATGAAGATGCCGACGACACTTGTCAGAACCACCTTAAATTACCTCACACACAGCACTGGCATGCATAAGAATAGGATGTGAACTTGTTTTTTTTTAAGGCATCTTTGGTTTGCGTTAAAACAACTTCAACCCATGCAATGTTCTGATTGCACCACAAACGCAGTAGTCATCCTTACCTTTCACGGAGGCACTGAGTTTTATAAATATGAGCATGATAGTGTAGAATAATCATATCCAAGGGCCAGTGGTGGGTTTCAAAAAATCTTGGAACCTCTTCTGTAGGTGTGGCCTGCTTTCCGGGTCCACTGGTGGAACCTCTTCTAACCAGTTCGGTAGATTTGACGAACCAGTTCTACCGAATAGGTGCGAACTGGTAGGAACCCACCTCTGGTCCATTCTGAAAACATCTTGCTTGAACCTGGTTGGTCATGGGGGGGCGAGTGGGGGGGGTGACTGGAGGCAGTTAAAAGAGGGAAATGTTGAATTTAGGGATTTTGCTGCATGATTCTCAGTTCTGGCTATGCATTACTGCAATATACTTGTATTATAATAAAATTATACTTTCTCAATATGGAGCCAAGGATCACTTCTATTTATTGACAGACACTCCCTTCCAGCAGTGATAGAATAACAGAGCTGGAAGGGACCTTGGAGGTCTTCTAGTCCAACTTCCAGCTCAGGCAAGAAACCTTAGAACATTTCAGACTAATGGTTGTCCTTAAAAACTTCCAGTGTTGGAGCATTCACAACTTCTGGAGGCAATTGTTCTCACTGGCAGGAAATGATGATGTTATCTAATTGGGTAATGAAGAAAAAGAAAGAAAGAAAAAGAAAGAAACAAGAACCACACAAAGTATATTTTAGCCTAGCATGCTGGATCAGATCTACCCAGATTGTGAAGGTAACATATTTTGCTCAGCCAGCTAATGATGTATGCGGTGAATGATTTACGGAGAGAGAGGAGGAAATCTAACAGATGGAGAACCTGTCTTTTTAATGCTCCTCCACTTTTTGTTTGTTGTATTTTTTTAATTTCAGACTCAAGAATCCTTGAATCCCAACAATTTAGAATATTGGATGGAGGATATCTATACACCAGGATACGATTCGTTAATAAAGCGTAAGGAGGCTGAATTCCGAAGAGCGAAAGTTTGTAAAATATCTGCTCTAATTGCAGCCGCCGCCTGTACAGTTATTTTGGTCATTGTGGTTCCAATATGTACTATGAAATCGTGAATCCCCAGGATGGCTGAATCGACAAACTGCCTTGTACAGAACTTTGCTTTGGATATCCCATCGATGTTTAACATACTACCGTATGGCAAAAAATAAAAATAAAAAATGTTCCCACTAGTTGGGAAGGATACGTCGGAGGATCCCAACAAAGCAAGCATGCAAAGAATTTTAGGTGTATTTTTTTTAAAATTGTATTCATTTTAAAGAAAAAAAGTACAACATCCTTTTAAACCAGCAACATGCCTCGCAGACTTAAAGGCTCCTCGGTTTAAATTTTTACAAGTGGATTTTCCCCGTGTCCTCTGAAGACAAGAAAAAATGTCCTCCTGTAACTGGAAATGGATGAAGAGCAAAAAGTGGGGGTGTTTTTTCTCCTTCCTGTACTTTTATACTGAATTATTATATATAGATGACTATTAATTCTTGTACAATATTGCATTTACCAGACAGAGAGCAACCCTTAGCGTTTCCCGAAATGTAAACTATCTGAATGTATTGTGTATCCCATTTTGTTACACGTTCTTTATGGGTTAAGTTTCGAAAACAGATTGTGCGATTCTTGGAGAGATTGTGTGTTCCTACCCCTGGGATTCATAAGGGCTGTTTGTAATCTGGTCTCGCCCTACAGGTTCCTTTGAGATCATCCCAGGGTCTGGAGGTCATGCCATCTGCTGTAGACCAAAAAAAGGTTGCGTTGAACAAGCCCTTTCTGAAAGGGAACATTTGCATAAATGTCACATTTATGAAAAAGAACCTGGCATGTGCACCGCAGTCCTTTGACTTTTTTTTCCCCCACCTCCACAAATGGTACCTAAATGTCTTCCTTTCATCCAGCTTTGGCCATCTGCAATCAAATGACTTCCAAGAAGTGCTTCTTGGCTTTCATACATTCTTGGAACTATAAGCAAGAAAGTGAAAATATTACAAAAAATCCTCCCTCATTCCTTTTACGTGTTGAAAGAGGCTGTTTAAAGTAGCACCATTGTGAAGGTGAATAGATGTGTCCCAGGATAATGTTGCAGGATCAGTCTGGGTCAATCACCGGGACCAGAGGTTTTGTCTTCTGAGTCGGAGTTGTACTGGAGGCCATCCTCGGGGAAATTCTTGTTCTAACCCAGGCTTCCTTAAAAAGCAAGAAGCTAAGTCTTGGTCCCAGCAAAACCCCTTTTATTTATATGACTGTGAATTCCTTTCATTCACAGTCCGCAAGGCTTAGCAAACAGTCTTTCAGAGGAATGTTTATCCACACGAACCTTATCTCATTTGGAGAGCTGCCAAATAACTAGTTTCCAAATGCAGGGCGAGGCAAAATTTGGCACAGTTTCTTATAGTCACAAACAGAACTTTCCACTCTTGAAATGAACGAATGAATGAATTATTTCCTGCAAAAGCCCACTCCCCATTTGCACCTCTTTTGTTTCCTATTGGGGGGGGCAATCACTTCCAAGGTGTGGCTTTACTTCTAAGTCGACCCTGCTTTCTTAGTTGTCTTCTGGAAACTCTGCAAATGTGCACACTGGGAACAGGCTCCAGCTGTTCCTCTGCCTCACTGCTGTCTAGCTTCCTCTCTGCTTCCGACACAGAAGCCTTGTCTGAGCTTTCCTCAGCCCCCAGGACTGGCCCATGTTTCTCCCCAACCTCCTCATTGTCCAACTTTGCTGCCAGGCCATCGGTGGGTCACAACACTTCTCTCTAGCAGAGACCAACACACATTCTGCTAGAGAGAAGTTCCCTGAGGATGGGCTCCAGCATGAATCCAAAAGTTCAGAAGACAAAGCCGCTGGTCCCAACGACTGACCCAGATTGGATCCTGTAGCACAATTGTGGATGTGCACAATGGAAACAAACAGTCATCATCCGCACATTATTACAGAGGAGCAGGTCATCTGTCATAAAGGTCCATCTATACAAAGCTCATTTTGGACCATGTTTGGCAATATGTATGTATGTATATATATATATATATATAAAACACCTGGCTATGCATAGGTTGGCAAGGTATTCTGCAGCTGGGCATAAAGTGGTGCTTCTCCAATGCATTTTTGGAACATGTTCATTGGAATCCCCTCTTCTGTAAGAAATGCCTTGCGCCTTTTGAAATGTGAACCCATAGGATTGTAGTGGTGTCTGTGTGAATTTGGCCACCAGATTTTCATTTAGAAAAACAAATAAAACAAACCTTGGGCATTGACACAACGCAGCTAACCAAGTTCACCTTAACCAAACTGGCTAAGGTACTGTGTCAGTCCCAAGAATGGGTTAAGCCAGTTCACCAGGTTAAGCATGTTAGGCGAATGCAGGCCAGGATCAGATTACCATATTTTGTTTTCTTTATACATGTCTCTTAGATGAATTTGATTTTTTTTTGTGAAAAAAATGTGCGCCTTAGTAGATAATTTACTTTGGGAAGATGAATCTGCAGAGAGATGCTTGTTAAGATTCTTTGCCGTTTTTGTGGTTGATTGTAAACTTGGTGCCAACCAGGATTAATTCCAAACAATTTGTGAAGTGACTGCAGAGGTGGGTGTCACATACTGTAACTACCGATTCTCCCAGCACCGGAAATGCGTATGGCATCATTGCGCTTTCCACACGTGCAGTGTAGAGTCAAAAACAGAGTGATTGTGTTTTTGACACTGCACAGGATTGTGCCAGGTCGGGATTGTGCCAGGTCACAACTACCAGTTCACCTGAACTGGTCCAAACTGGCAGCAGCCCACCATTGCCAGTTCAGCCTACTTAGTTATGGATCAATGGAAATCTGGCCAATTCAGCTGCTGTCTTCAGTGTGTTAACGGAAAGCGTTTGTACTCGCTCACTCTCTATTCTCAACTTTTCCTTGCTCCACCCCGGCTAAATTAGGAACGAGAAGTTGCATTGTTTCAATTGTTAGCTTTCCAAATGCCATGTAAAATTAAATCAGAGTCGAAGCCGAAACTATGCTTAAAGTTCCAATTTAATAAAGCAGGCATGTTGGCATAG